GTGTGATCGAAACTGTGGTGTATGCACATCGTCGAGTTCGTATTGATGCCCTCCGTTCGTATGGGCATGAGCTTGCTGGGTGGAACATTACCCCACTGCTGACGCATAAGATGAGAAGCCATTTGTGCTGACAGGGTCCTCGGGCACCATAGGATAGTTAAACGTGATCCACTCAAGCGACGCCCTTATATTGCGAAGGCCTTACGGCCGGTGCCGCCGACCCTGCAGACGGAAACGACGAGCAGGACAAGGACGTTGAGGAGCAGGAGGCGGAGGACGTCCGGAAGCAGGAGGGGGGAGGAGGAGGAGGAGGAAGAGGAGGAGGAGGAGGAGGAAGAGGAGGAGGAGGAGGAGGAGGAGGAGGGGAACAGGAGGGGAACACGAGGGGGAGGAGGAGGTCAGGGACCTCGGAATTCTGGGTCCTGGGTGTCCCGTGGCCGAGCGTCCAGGAGGTCGGTTCGGTTCTAGAGGGGGACGGAGGAAAGAGGAGAGATGAGGATGGAGGGAGGAGGGGGGAGGGAGGAGAGGGCGTGGTAGAATGCCTCGGCTCTTGGCCCTTCTGAGGCTTTGTGTGGGCCCCGGGACCCCCAGGGGGGGGAGTTGTATCTGACGCGGGAGTCCCCCCTGGACCCCCCGGGGACTCCCCCCGGGACCCCCCGGGACCCCTCCGGGACCCCCCCCCCCGGGCAGGGTAGGGATCAAAGGGAAGGGGCTTCTCTTCGACTCAATGACAACGTTGCTCTTGAGGGGGAGGCCTTGGAAAAGCAGGGGGGGAGCGGCGACGGGCCCAGGGAAGAGGGGGAAAGGGAAGGAGGGGAGACGGACCCAGGAAAAGGGGGAGCGCAGGGACAGGAGACGATTGGCGCAGGGAAAGGTGGGCGCAGGGACAGGAGACGACGGAGACGACGACGAACGAACGACGGGAACGGACAAGCCCCTCACACACGCCGACACAGGGTCGGCGGATTTCCTATAGCAAGATCCCGAGGCCGCCGACGTACTCTCACAACGTGGAGGTCTGGACCCATTTCCTGGGGTTGCTTTTGGATTATATCCCGAGCCGTTTCTTGACGGCCCAAAGGGCCCCGTGAGGGCCCGCGGGAGACCGAAAATTATCAAACCTCCGTCGCGGTTTGTCCACGATGTGGTGGGGCTTTGTCTTGGCCATGGGTGGGCAAGAATCGGTAATCTCTTGCAGTGCATCCATTGCTTGAGGGCTCAGCGTTCTGAGGCGGAGCCTCCCCTTGCATATTTGAAACAGATACATATACATATATGGATATACTCACCCATTCCTGCCAGCATTCACTCACGACGTTGGTGTTCTTCCTCTCCTCCTCCTCCTCCTCCTCCTCCTCCTCCTCGGCTCTCGATATGTCTCTCTCTCTTTCTCTCTTTATGTCTCTCTCTCTCTCTTTCTCTCTATCTCTCTCTCTATCTCTCTTTCTCGCGTTATCGTTATCGCACTCTCTCTCTCTTTCTCTCTTTCTCTTTCTGTCTCTCTCTCTCTCTCTCTTTCTCCCTCTCTCTCTCTATCTCTCTCTCTCTCTCTCTCTCCCTGTCCCCTCTTTCGCTGGTTGGCTTGCCAAGGCGTGGGCCCCGATCCCCACGCATGAAAACGCAAGGTTCGCGATGTCAGGAGGGGTGCAGAAACCTTGTGGTTTCATTTGGATGCTTGACTTCCGCGGTGAAAAGTGAGTGGACAAAGAGTTGTTATTTGGATTATTGGGATTTGGGGGATTTCCATCCCTCCATCGATAATCCCGCCCAGGAGCCCTCCCAGGAGCTCCGATCCCCAGAATCCCAAACATCTACAGGAAAACGCAAGGTTTGCGATGTCAGGGGTGCGGAGCCCTTGCGTTTTCATTTGGATGGTGTGGATGTCTGGGGTGGGAAGTGCGGAAACCCGGCGTGTTCATTTTTGGTTAGATAAAGCAGTGGGGTGTTAGCTCCCTTCTCCTCCTCCCGCCTTCTGTCCCCCTCGCGCCTGCCTGCACCTGCTTGCTAGCATCCCTCTTGGGGGCCGCGAAGTGTGAAACTGTCGCCACTTTCGAGGGCTGCTGGGGAAGCCCGCACTGTGGGGCCACACGCATCCCAAAAAAGTGATCGCCATCCCTGGGGGGCTGCGAAGTGTGAAATTGTCGTCACTTTCGAGGGCTGCTGGGGGAGCCCGCACAGTGGGGCCACACGCAGACAAAAAAAAGACCTCGCCATCCCTGGGGGGGTGCGAAGTGTGAAACCGTCGCCACGTTCGAGGGCTGCTTGGGGAGCCCGCACAGTGGGCCACACGCAGATCCAAACGGGACCTCGCCATCCTTGTGGGAAGAGCTGCGAAGTGTGAAACCTTCCCTACTTTAGAGGGCTGCTGGGGGACCAGCGCAGTGGGGCCCCACGCAAATCCCAAAAAGACCTCGCCATCCCTGGGGGGCTGCGAAGTGTGAAACCGTCGCCACGTTCGAGGGCTGCTGGGGGGCTAGCACAGTGGGGTCCTACGCATATC